TTTATGCTTTTGGCATACTGGCATTTTACAGCGAGGCATCAGGATCACACAGCTCACCCATTTAATACTTATGAAATAAGAGAACAGGTGGGTGACGTATAATGATGTTGGTGGGTATCCATAATGTATGTGAGTGTGTATGTGGGTGTTTGCAGAGCTGGAAATGTCTTATTTTTAAAAATCGCAGATACTACCATTAGCATTTTAAAATGGGAGTCGCACAATTCAATAAAGATTCAATATAGAATATAGATAGTTGAAATGATTAAACTCAAGAGAAGATGTTGTTATGGGTAATCATAAAACTTTATCAGTTATTTGTATCTAACTATAGTAATATAATGGTGTTATAGTTGGGAGTTTTTAAACAAAACCAATTTTTGTGTCTGTATTCACAAAATAACCCAACAAAATCATGTATTAACACTGAAGTTCCACTGCATGTGTGAATCTGAATTGTTATACCAGAGCTATATATGCTCTGGCTTGTATCAGCACATAGTACATGCGGCGCAAAGGGCTATGGAAGCAGTAAAAGGTGGCAAGCAGCTGATTGAGGCCGGGTGGGTGTTTGAATCTGTGATGGTGTACCATCGTCACTTTGGGAGCAGCCAGGCTGAGCACTGCAGGCTTGGATGCATGATGCCGGCAGCCATCTGGCTTTGGATGGGACTCCTGAGGGAGACACAGGCTGGTGCCAACCTTCAGAAAACACTGCCAGCATGTTTGAGAATGAGAATGACATGTTCATCTATACTGTGGCTCTCTGTGTGAGAGCGGCAACTGTGTTCCTGCAGAGCTGTGACACGTTCACAAATACTACATGTTCTACATACTGTATGTTTACTCTATGCCCGGTGTCTCCTCAAGGGTGCTGCAGTCTCTAGCAATGTGTAGTCCTGAATGGAAAGGTAGAAATTAATAGAATTTCTATAATTCAAGATATGGATTTAATCCGTGTATGGCTCTCAGTAGCTGTTGGATAAAAGCGATTATTCAACTGAGTCAACGTCATGTTGCATTTCTATGAAAAAGTTTTTTTAAATGAAACATAGTTTTTAAAGGGTTTATTTTGCTACACAACGCCTTAGGTGCAATTTCTCATTATCAACATTTCATCATACACTAACCACATCCTATGTTCTAGGTACATAACACTGGGACAATAGTTACGGCAGAAAGTGTTACAGACTGTTAAAAGGTTTCTGTTTGCACAGTATGTGACTGTAATTGCTTTGTCACAGCTGAGCATATTATAGAATAAGACTGTGAGAGTGCCCTTGTGTGTTTGTGCACATATGTGTGTCCATTGGGTGTCTATGGCTTCAACATTTAAAGCACAATGACTGCATGTTGCTAAAGGTGACAGAATGAGTAGGTGAGTAGCACATCAAATGAGTCATTTCTAGGTAAATATGTTAATGGAGAAGTTATTTAAACACTGGCCTTGTTTCAAATCTATGTTGTCCAACTGTGTTGTTTTGTGAGCAAGGACCAGAGCCAGGATAAACCACCGCTGAAGTTTACTTTGCTGACACACAACCAGGATATATAAATATTAAACTGAAGTTTGGATGAGAGAGATCTTATTTAGAAGTTAAAAAGACATGTTTATATTTATGTTTGACATGAGGGACCAAAGATAAGCTCTGAAAGATTAGATAACTTTTTATAAGTTTAAAAATAGTGTTTGATTCCCTAATAAATCATACCTGATTCTAACATCTCAAACACCATCTGCTCCTGATACTCATACAAACAGAAACTAACATGCACTTACCCGTATGCACCCACCCATCCCCCCTCTCCACACACACACACACACACACACACACACACACACATATATACGCACAGACATCAACACACTGACCTTATGTGACATGAGTAATCAAACACACCTCTCTCTCTCACTGCTCCCTACTGCATGAACTATTTATAATGTTCTGCCTCATTGAATTATTGATGAGCTATGTTTTCTGTTTCTCTACACTTTTTCTACAGTTCTGTAAGAAATTCAGTCCTTTTACTAATGATCCACTCAGGGTCTCCGTCTCGTTACAAACAGGGCACACTTCTTACACAATAATAGACACACAGAGTCAGATCAGTGCGACTGCCCAACCGTACAACAACAAAATGTTAGGCATGCAGGAGAATGGAAGGATAATGTTATAGTGAGACTGCTGGGAATTGAAACATAATGCATTGTGTCAAACACACCTCCACCTGTATTTACAATCAAGAAAAAGGCATCACTGCAGCTGCTTCTATATGCTGGAGTAGCCCATGCTAGAGTAAGGACAGATTGAACGACGGACTGACTCAGGAATGAGGATCAGATTGAGCGGCAGACACTCCAGTGAAAAAATTTTTAGTTCTATTTACAATCAAACTCAGGGGAGACGACAAGGACACAGGGTTGGTTTTAATCTCCTTGAGAAGTGTAATGGGGGAGGAAATGGTCCCAAAACAAGGACATCTTATTTACTCAGAGCCACACATGACTTTCAGCACTAATTGATGTGAAATATTGTGCAGCGTAAGAAACAGTTGGCTTCTTCTCACTCATTATCTCTGATTCTCACTCTTTTCCTCTTCCTCCTCCTCAATCTATCACCTCTTTTCTTTCTCTCCTCCTCTGTTCTTCACTCGTTCTCGCACAGACGCTGGCACTCGTCGTGTCATCGCGGATTAAAAAGGGGCTGACTACTTTTTTTTAATATGATACATCTCAGCCTAATTTGTTCTGAATGAATTATGCATTGTGTCACTCATGGGGTGACAGAAAATGTATTTTCATGAATCTTTTCTGCATTTTTCTATTTTCCTGAAGCTGAAGATAATTTTTTTTTAAAATCCTCCCCAAGTACTGTTTCAGACAATTTCATTACAGGACATCTACAAGTGATGCCTTAGGTGTGATATAGTAGAAAAGGTGGTGAACACTTAATACTCAAAATTCCATTTAAATTTCACAAATGTAATTCATTTAGGTTAATTTGTAGAGATGTGTTTTTACAGTGCAGTAGTTTCTTTTGTCTGTGTAACCTGATGACCACCACTATGACTCAATGTGGTAAAAAAAAAAGTACATCCTGAAAAAGTACAAAGTGGGCCAACTACTTTTTATACCCTCTGTGGTTTAACTATTTATTGTTGTTTTTTAATTGGTTTAATTACTTTGGCACATAATCAGCAGCTCATTTGCATTTTGTTCCCCTTTGCATTGTCAGTTTCTATTAGTGGAAGCATTTCCTGAGTTGTCAACATCACAGGAGGACTTTGTTTATTTTACACGGCAACTTTTGGATAGATGGGGATAATCCAAGTGAAAATCTGTTCAAATTGAATTGCTCCTCTTACAATCAGTAAAAAAATTAATAAATAAAAACAACAATTTAGCCTTAAAGATGAAGTCCAGTGATGTTCTATATTTTCTTAAAACCAAGAAAATACCAAAACCAATTCAACTATCCTACTAACAAGTACTGTCTGTGAAGCCAATGTCTGACGTAGATTATTCCTATGTGCCACAGATCTCCACTGTCCAAAAACAGGAAGCGGTGATAACAATTCAGCCTGCAACAGGCAGGAAAAGACACTGATAAAAAACAGAAATCGAAAAACAGACAAGTTTGGAGAAGTTAGGAGAGAATGAGATGTGCCAAACAGGCTGTGGAAATCAAGCTGAGAAACCTAGATTCAAAGTACAAAGCCTCACACCATGTCCAAATGGTTCTCGCCCACTCTGGAGCGACCAACCTGCCAGCTCACATGAACTGACAACAAAAACTGTTCACAGGTTTGGAAAGAATGCACCTTATGCCAGACTGAGTTGAGGACTGTAGCAAGCAGAGCAGAAACGCAACACACCTAATGACAGAGTCTCTCATGAGTAACAGCAGTCTGAAAGTTTTTGTAGACTCTCAGCATCTTAGCAGCCAAGCATGAAAGGGACGCCTGACAAACAAATTATCTCTCTGTTTCCATAGCGATCTATGAATGGCCTGTGCTAGTGCCTGTGACAACCAGATGCCTGGGAAGACAAGGCTCACCCATAAAAAGCCAGCGCTCTGCAGAAAGCCTGTTATTACTGCTATCATTCAATTGGACTTGATTTGCATAATTAAACTCTGTTATTGCTTGGCTCTGGAAGCCACTGCAAGTCCCTGCTCTTACCAGCTGGATGACGGGGGATAAGGGGGCACTTAAGGGAGGACTATAACATCAGCTGACCCATGGATGTGACTAATCAATACTAAGATTATCCATTAAATTGAACTTGATAAGGCTTCGCTGCCTGTAGATTGGTCATATATTTCTGTGCAGCTCCAGGGCAGAGTGCACACTGATGAGGTGAGTCACAGCTTGGACTTCACTCTGCTAACTACATGAAAGGCCCTGACAGAGCAGAGCAGAGCAGGTCCAGACTGAGAATCACAGAGAGAGAGAGAAAGGCAGTGGAAAAGCTGACAGGCTTACATAACACATCATGTGTAAAAGCTGCCTACAGAACCTGCAGCATAAAAATCAAATATCAACCAATTATTGCACAGACATGATCTTTTGTACGAGTCTTTTGCATTTAATTGTTTATCTCGCTGTGTTAAAGAATGAGAGCAAACAATAATGGACCATTCTTAAAAAGTACTTAGAAACAAATCAACCAGCACAGACATACAAAAAGGGGATTGAGAAGAACCTCAGAGACAAATGGAGGAAATTGTTGGCCATTTGACAGCACCTGAAGCCAAATACTTGTTTCATGCTCACAGGAATCCTCTGGAAAATGCAGCTATTCACTCCAGACCGCGACCAGGCAGCCACAAATGGATAACAACACAACCCATTCAACTGCACTATGACACAGCATTTTTCACAGAAACAAGTCAATAAATCAATTCATTTTGCGAATCCATGGTCCGGAAGCTGCTGAAGGCCAGTTGACACTTTGTTACGCATAGCTGAAAGCAAAACAGACCAAATCAGAGTCTTACCTCAACCAGGTGTGGAGTGGGATTGAACCCACACATGTTGCACACTTGGTGGTGGCACTGTGTGCAGGTGTTGTAGTTTGGTGGTTCTGCTGTGTTGCCGATGTTGAGGTTTGTCTTGCAGAGAGGACAACAAGCTTTGGGTTTAGAGTCCGGGGGAGCGGGCTGTTGTTGCTGCTGAGCAGGGGCTTGAGGCCCTTGCTGTGCAGGCTGAGGTCCTGAGGGTTTACTTGCCCCAGGCGCTGGACCAGGAGGTCCTGCTGGTTTGGGGGCCGGTTTTGGGGGCTGTTGTTGGGGTTGAGTAGTCTCAGATATGAGAGTGCTGGCCTGGTTAAGCAGAGAAGCTCCAAAGCCAAACAACTTCCCAAAGGTTTGCTCTGGAGGTGGGGGCTGTCGTGATGGGGAGCTCCCTGCACTGCGAGTCTGGTCTTGGCGGGGGTGCTGGGGTTGGTGGGCAGGAGAGTTGTGGGACAGATCAGGCTGGGAGGGGGCCTTGGCCATGCCTGGGAGAGGGACTGCCCCTGGAGGGAGCTTTACTTGTTGCTGACCTGGGCCAGCTGGACCAGTCTGTTTGGTGGGGCCAGGTGCTGGATGAACCTGCACAGGAGGCTGCATCTGAGGAGGGACCTGTGTCTGGGGTGCAGGCTGTGTCGGAGCATCAGGTTTAAGTTCTGGTTTGGCTGCATGAGAAGGAGAGTGTATCTGTTGCTGACTCTTGGAGCGTGGCGTGGTCATGTCCATCCCCAACGCTCTCTGCATCTGACAGTTGAGGCATAGCCACTCTTGAACCTGTGACAGAAAAGATCAAAAAGAAAACCATGACCATAAGCTACCATATCCAGTCTTCATCTTTCAGTATATAAATAACTTTTGTAATCAAAGAAGTAATTTGACATATTGGGAAATATGCTTTTTCGCTTTCATGCTAAGTGTTAGATGAGATGATAACACTATTGTTATATTCTTAACTTTGGACAACCGGGGCTAGCTGTTTCTCCTCTTTTTTGTCTGTATGCTGAGCTAAGTTAACCTGCTGCTGATGGTAGCTTCATATTTACCGTACGAGAACTCTCAGGAAGAAAGCAAATAAGCATAGTTCCCAAAATGTTAACTGACTATTTTGGATTGGAGAGGGGATAGGTGAATTATTGAAATGAGTCAGGATAACTTTAAAAACGATTCCTTTGGTTTTCTACTTGATGCGCCACTTTCTTTTCACTGTCCAAAGAGATACAAGTAACATGAACTAAAAACTCTAAATTGCCTATGGGTGTGAATGTGAACATGAGTGTGTTGGTCTGTTTATGTGACGAACTGGCTGCCTTCCCTTCCTCTCATCCAATGCATGCTGGGATAGCCTAAGGCCCGCTCTGAATAGGAAAAAGTGTGTGTGGAAAATGATTGAATGAAAGAATAATTGTGAATGATGTGAAATATCTCTTTGAGGAAGGATTTAAGCATCCCTGTGCCTCCGAATTGTGTATTTATTGGAAAACATAATTTTACCATAAGCAAATGTGCAGGAAATAAATGTGACAGGCGTAGTGAACTCTGGACTTGTTCATTAAATCATGGCTGGCCCTGATTTTGTATCTTCCCTTGTGTGTTTTCAGCGTGGTTCTTCTCTTTTTTTGCTTTCTCTCTCGTTCCCTTACACAACATGTTTCCTTTCTCATTAAAATCCTCCCACCATTATCCTCTTGTTTCTCCTGCTGTTGTCATTTCCTTTATGCCCATGCCTCTCCTATGTTCTGTCTTGTTATCGTTCTGCTCCATATAGGCACATAAGAAGGTGAAAGTCAGAAAGAAGCCCTAGTGATGGCACATGGCCATACGTGGTAATTGGCATCCTGGTGCTTTGACAGCTGCCACACTATTGTAGCTGTCTTGGATTCATGGTCATTACACAATGCCTTAATGCATTATAAATGCAGACAGAGAAAGGTTGTATAGAGGGTTGGGGCTGGGTTGGAGGTCTGGGGCACAAAGAGCGAGAGCCGCCGGCTTTTTCCTTCATACCTTTGGGTACAAAATCCCGTTAAGCCTGTAAAGGTGGATTCATGAAGATTTTGGTAGGGTTTCAGCTGAGAGTTTTTAGTACTCTGAAGGCTGCCAAAGCGAGGACTGAAAATGCAGAAAGATCTCTTCACTTCAAATGTCTCTGCAAGCCTGTGCCCATGGGAGATTGATTCACGCCCAAGGTCATACACACTCACACACATACACATGGTCTATGAGTTACTATGAAGAATACCATTATTTATGTACATAATGGGATCCTAATAAGACTCTTGATTATTTTTGAAACACCTGTATTTTGCAATTTATAAGAACTGGTTGAACCATTGCCTATAAAGTACAATTTAATACTACCAAACTATTTCAACAATAACCAATACAGTTTTACTATAGGCTACATATGATCCAAAGTATACTAATACTACTGTATCAAATAGTATTGACAATGAATTTTAAGAAGACAGCAGAATTTAAAAGGTCCTCAAAATATGTTTGGCTCTAGTAATTGTGATTGTATGCTGATTATATGCTGAACTGCACTCATGTAATAACTTTGTATTTGTTGTTATATTTCTTGATTAGGTTTTAATTGCAAAATCTTATTGTTTGCCTACAGCATTGTTCTGTATATTTTCTGTTGATTACAGTGGTACAAAAACACTTTATACAAGCTAGCAGGCTAGCTGACCTTTCATAGTTACATAGCTACAGTAGGATAAGTCACTGAAACTAAAGTGTAGTATTGCTCCACGTACTGCAAAGCGCTGACTCACTGCTGTGCTTTGACTTTTAGTAAGAAACTCTGCAAGAACAGCAACTTAACCCCAGCTGATAACATCTAATTTTGCCGTGGCCTGATAATCAGACTGAACTGCTACTTGGTTGCTCTTCATTATTCATTAACTATTTGCCATTTGAATTACTGAGAAAATTGAGATGTGAGCAATGATTCAGAGGTCTGGAACCAGGCTAATTTTGCTGGCTTCCAGTGGTAAAAGTCCCTGATGAAGTGATTACCATTGGGTGTGGCAGTTAATGGACCACTGAATCACTGCCTATATCGCTGACCTTTCTAGCATTTCCAATACGTCTGGTGTTGTGCTCAATGAAACATTCGACCAATCAGAGCGAGACTCCAATTAATGGCATAAAATAGTTTTCTGATGCAGCTCTTTCCAAATTCTACTGGATTGAATGGATCAAATTCTGATTACACAAAGAGTAGTTTTTGGGTGCTTGTGACCTCTTCATCATTCCACAGCTGTTCCTTTGATAAGTATTTTTGGGTCAGTGTGCATCAAATCATCCTGCAACACAGTTACAAGTGTAGCCACTATGCCAAAACATGCTTCACAACCCAGTAAAGATTCCAGGGCCTCGCCCTTAACAGCTAGCTAGCTAAATTAATAAAACAATGTTGACAGAAAAATTGCCAACAAAATGAGGATGAGAGTGGGTTAGATAGTACTCTTTAATGGTTTCTCTGGTGTATGTATCCTTATATTTTCACTCAAAATTGCACTGTTCACTTGCTTTTAAATGTACAGTACAGTAAAGTGATATAACCACTCCACCTGCCTTACAGTATTTCTCAGTCTGTCTAAGTCAGTCATTCAGAAAGTCAGTCATTTAATAAGGCAGTATAGACAAGGTACTGTTAATTACAGGCTCATCAGCATCTTGTGCCTCGCCCCCTGCTAGTCCTCAGCGATAAGGCCATGTTTCTCACTATCAGTCAGGGAAACTGTGAAGCCGGGAGCAAAGGTGAACCCTGGGGACAGTCCGAGTAATGTGGACAGTGAAATAAGCCAACACTGGAGCAGCACAACACCATCCAACACAGGACCCTTTATCCAATCAGACACTCACAAGTGGGAACTCCTCTTTTCTTTCCATTCCTTTCCAAATTACAGTTAGGATAATCATATTAAGCCCATTGGAAAAAAAAATAACCGGAAAAGCAACCAAAGCAGCTGCGGGGAGGGCAAGCAGCTATTTATCAATTTCACTGTGCCTCTGCTTGCCTCCGCCTCATCTCTCCTTCTCATTCCTCTCTGCGTCCCCCTTGTTATGAGGCAATCATGTGGATCTTTATGAAATCTGATGTGTATCAGCAAAAAACAAGCGCACTGTAAACTCTGTCTCCTGGCTTCCTTCTCTATCAGTTCTCTGTTGCAACCCTCCATCTTGTTCTCCTTCACCCATCTTTATTTCTCCTGCTTATCTGCATCTCTCACATCCCATCACTCCCTTTAACTCTCTTCCTCCATCTCCCTCTCCATCTCAAGTATACATTTTTGATGGGTCTCATCCGGCCTGCTTTTTATTCCTGCCTTAGCTTGCTAAATGTGTGTGTGTGTGTGTGTGTGTGTGTGTGTGTGTGTGTGTGTGTGTGTGTGAGTGTATGTGTGCGTGTGTGTGAGTGTATGTGTGCAATGGTATGATACACGTCAGAGGTTGTAAGCCGGGACCAGAGCCCACAGTTCTGCGACAGGATGCTCGAGTACAGTGGTTTCATGAAGAACAACGACTTTCTGCCAGAAATAGAACCTTTTAGCAGCAAGGGCCCACAGAGACTTGGATATGGATCAAATAATAAGATCAAAGCCTTGGCAACACACACACACACACACACACACACAAAATACAAGTACATTCTGAATTTTATGCTGATTTGGTAAGATCTGATATTATTAATAATTTCAACCAATGATGGCTAACGATTATTTTTAATTGTTGATTTATTTGGAGATTATTAATTGATTGACTAACTGGTCTGTAAAGTGTCAGGAAAAAGTCAGATGTCAAAATGATTAATGTTTTTTTCTGTCCATTCCACTGCCTTTCAAATGGGTGTAGCCTCTAGGTTTCACAGAAGACATTTTGACGTGTCATTGCAGGACAAGCACAGGTATAGATAATAAAATAAATGATGGATGAATTCCATTTAGCTGCTTCAGTTTCAGGGTGCTGGTATTGTACATGTGTGTTCACTGTCAGACTGTCAATGCATACTGGGACAGTTGAATAAAACAGAGCCATTGTTAATGTTGTTAGTAACACATGTGAAAGAGGCCTATTGCTAGTAGCATCAACAAATAACTTATTTTACTTCTCATATTTAAGAGCTTTTCATTACTAATAATTATATATTGTATAATATATTGTATTATATTATATTATATGTATATATTTACGTAACATTTTGATTGCAAACTTTTCACTGTGGTATTGTGACTTTTAATTAAAGGATCAACCAATCCGCAGTTGTTTGACTGCATACATTTTCGGATATTTACAGAGTTTGCGTTAAGATAGAAAATTAGCATTTTATGTGTTTTTTAACTGATCATACTCGAATATACAGAGAATTAATTCTTGTATTTATAGGCGCAAACATCAATGACTCAGATGTAGTCAAGATTCTCCGATTGCATTTTCCAATGCAGTGTTTTGACATCACAAATTGTGTCTTTAAGTAACTGATTTAAGTATTTTTGCAGCAATGAAAATGACAGGTGGAATTTTTGCTTCACACACATACACTCACACATGTTGGAAGATGAAACACTGCAAACATCACACTGGTGCACAAAGTTTCTCCACTTCGTCTTCTCCAGTTTGCATTTGTTGACAGGTGTGAGACATCATGCACTCCATCATTCCCCAGGTAAACTGGGTAAGGAACAGAGACAGAATCAAACTTCAACTGAACAAGAATGCAGACAAAAGAAAAAAAGCTCTGTCTCAGAGACCACAATGCGGTATCA